ACCACCAGAGCCAAGCTCGATAGGATCATCGTCAAGATCCGGTTCAGGCTGCTGACCCTGAGGTGGCATATCCTCATCGTCAACTGGCATTTCACCATGCGGATCATCGTAACCTGGATAGTCCACATCGTCATTTGTACCAGGAAGTTGTGGCGGCACGTCAGGAGCAGGCGCTGGTTGATCTGTAAACTCCAACCCAACATCAGGTCCCCGACTTGCATTCAAACCTTTCGACTCACTCCAAAACACAATCATGGACCAACTGCATCAAGATGACGATGAACCAATGGAAGTGTCTTTCCATATGTCCCCCTGTAGACATTGCAGTATTCGAACTCCAGGTATGGAAGAGTAAGCACCCTCCACCGCTTGATCATCGGCCACAATGCAACCGCATCGTCAGATGAGGTGGTGTGCACTTCCATTTCGGTACCCGGAAGCATATTGTCAATGTACGACAGAGCCTGGACTAGAGATGATGTGACAAACCGTTGTGCAGCGACAAACTGACGCGATTGCGGCAGCTTCCCTTTTCGCCAAGAGCGAATACTCCCTGACTGAAGAAGGAAGAACAGGAACAGGCAATGCCTCAGAGTTTCTTTCCGACCGCAAGCACAAAGCGCACAACGCTCCATCATCAAAGTCTTCAAAGATATCATCGAAGAAGTAAGCCTGTCGCAAATCGTAATATCTGTTACCAACACTGGGACAACAACATGGTGAACCGAGGATCGAACAAGGTTGTGGAATCATAGCCATCGGCTAGTGGCTCTAAACGGTCCAAGGATCCTTCAGGTAGTTTTGTGAGAAAAGAAAGTTCAGCATGCAGCTGTTCCCTCTTGTTCTTGAAGTGGCAAACGTCGTGCTGTTTCGCCGCTTCAAGGAGTGACTACGCTGAGACAACCAAAACCCAGAATGTGAACGATACATGATGGTGACAAAGTATCTTCGATCATCCTTCCAACGGCAAACTTCAGCACAGAAATGCCAATGCTGCTTTCCGAGGCCATTCTGCAGGAGTGACTGGGTGCACGATGACGTGGTCAGGCTCAGCCGCTAAGATCACCTCCCAAGCAGAAGCAATGAAAGATTGAAACGTCTTGAAAGTCCGAGACGAGACCTGAATGACAGGTACATGAAGTGAAGCCTGTAAGGTGAGGCGAGATCTCAACGAAATCGCTCTCTCCTGAAGTGAGCGAACGTTAACAGATCTCATGCTCGTAGCAGTATCCAGAAGTAGCACTATCCAAGATCTTGTCACCAATTTGGCCCCCCGTCTTGTGATGAGCTTCTCGTACCATTATCGGACTTCAACGGAATGGCCACATCATGCCACGGATCGTGATCGCATCTCACTGGTTGACTCGATGCACAGCGCGACGCACTTCAACCAACACCATGGCACCTTCTTGCGACGCAACAATTCCTCTGACCCAGATTCCTTCAGTTTCCTTCTTCGACTCATCTTTATGCTAGACAAAGACGCGGTTCCTTCCTGTACGGACCATCAGACGGCATGACACGCCGCGCAAGGTCCTTTCGGAGACCCAGTGACTGCCGAGCTTCTTGATGAGCTCTCATGCGAGATCCAGAGTGGCACGGTCCTCGTCAGAGGGATTCGAGGAAAGCTGCTCAGGAGTAAGGAGTGCCCGTCTCCACATCCATCAGATCTGGTGGCCGTCTACCCGTCGCTATCTCCAACGGAGAGTAGCCGGAGATTGTCAGCTGGCAGTTTCTTGCCCGGCCACCTTCTTTACTGCTTGACGAACAGTCACCTTTTCTGGGTAACCCTCATCAGCCAAAGCTCTTGCCATGATCGACCGTGTGCGTTTGAACAACCGCACGGCAGTCTCTGCGCGGTTTGGCCAGGGAGTACGAGGCCGCAAGGATATGGAGTGATGCCATGAGAAGCTTGTAGTAAGCCATGAACTGATCAGTGAAAATGCTTGGTCTCCAACGATTCCTTTGGGAGCACGATTGTTTTCTTCAGTCCATTACCGAAAGGCTCCCAGAGTCTCTGGCGCTTCCAAACTAGTAAGAGCCGTAGCCCACAGGAGATTTGAGGCACCATCAACAACTACTGAGGCAAGATGTGCCGTTTGGCCAAGCTTGATTTCCTCCTGATCTACAATAAGATAGGATCACCGAAGGAAGATGCTCTCAGTCCTGCGATTTTGGCTCGAGGAGGCGTTGGCACTGAGGTGCTACAAACACGACAACCTGTGACAATGTGGTCGTACTTGTCGTAGATCTCTCCTGGCAAACCAAGCATGCTGGTCCTTCGTCGAAATTCAGCTTTGCTCACGTGGTAATGCTTCACATGTAACTTGTACTCCCGGTCTTACATGCAGACAACCAAGTACCGGCTGCACTTGGTCGACTCGGAATTGGCAAAGGTAAACTGAGATGTGGTCTCCGCTATGGTGTACCAAATGCCACAGTCGCTGTTCTGGTCGCAGAACTTCATCAGTGAATTCATCAGGTCCTGCGCGGCCACTCACGAAGTCATCGCCCTCGCGCGTCCCAAATAATCCAACACCGTCGAAGTTGGCGTCAAGGGCTGAGCGATGTACCTCGTGACGAGGTACGAGTCACGACTATGTGTGCTAACGCCGTCTCTTCTTCCCGCCGAAACCATCGCAGGTGTTTCGGGCTAGAAACTTCGTTTCGATGCGTTGTCACGCGCTACTATTATAGGAACCTAGTTTCTACGTGCTAGTCACGCTATCGTTCGCTCTTGTACATGTGTGCTGTCGGGATAGTGTGCTTTCTGCAGGCATGTCCGTGGCAGGGAGAAAACTGTGACTTGGAATGGCTAGAACATGTGAATGCACTCGTGGCCATTCTGGATAAAGTCCTCTCAGGAGGGGTAATTTTGAAGTACGAGGAAGGGGAACGTGGATAGGTCTCCGGCTGATACGCCTCCCGCGAGATTTCGGGGGAGCCCGGCTGCAGTGGTAGGGGCAAGCCCAGAAGCAACCCAGGCTAATCCAAAGACTCGGCAGGGCACCCCAGGACCTGGATCCCCAGAGTCGGGTCGCCGATTGAGTCAGCTCTGCAATTCCCAGACCACCAAACGGATCTATAAAATAGATCCAGTCGAACCAGCGGTTCTATTTTAGCAACAGCGGCTCTATTTTAGCATGGCGGCTCTATTTTGCAGCAAAGCTGCAATTTGAGCCTTGAGGATTGTCCGTGTTTTGATTCTGCTGGAGGAAACAACACCTCATTTGGCTCAAAGTGCGGGAGAAAACCCTTAAGTCCCTAAGTCGGCTCAAACTGCGGAAAAAAACCCTAAGTTCCCTAAAAACAGGCAGAGAGACATGGCCCACCTATAGGGTCATGCCTCTCTGCATATTTACTCATATAAACATCATATTCGTCCGTACATATACAAAATATATAGTGTCTACACGATATTATGTCTGCATATACACCAACATGTGTGATACTTTCAAGAACTGGCTTTGCAGAAGCGATGATTCGAAGGGATCTTGCCCGGCCGACTGCCCGGCAGGCTGAAGCAAGCATTTCTCTCCGGTGCTCGATCGTTACAGTGCAGTCATTGCAGCAGATGGGTCATCAGCAGGCCAATTACCTCAGCCGGGGTGCGGCATGGGCCGTAGACGGCACGATCGATTAATTCCTCTGCTTGCAACTACAGTGTAGACAGTGTAGCAGTAAGACTGCTGTGTGCTTCCGCAGCCATGCCGAAGCGACCAGCTGCATGTGTGGACGACGACGATGATGACGAGCAGGAGACAGAGCCACAGCAGGCACACAGACAGCCGGGGTTCAAGGATGCGAAACTTCTGTCCTCCTGTTTTGCACCTTTCATAAAGAAGCGGCACGATATCAACTACACGTCCGACCGAGAAATCAAGAACATCCAGAGGGCGAAACTCACGAACAAGTGACCTAGCACTGATCCGGCATCGTTCTGTTGTGGTGTTGGGTTTCTCCTTTATTGAAACAGTGTCCTACTTTTGTGATTGTTTGGTTTGGTGCTTCACTCGAGGTTCTATAAAGGCCTTCTTAGCAGCACACGCAGCCTCAGTCGAACCTGGAACTTTCCGGATACCATCATCAAGAAAGCCTTAATGCTGCTCTTCAAGAGTGAGGACAGGCTCAAGTTCTCAAGTATCTGTATTTATTTGTGTTGGCCCAGCAAACCTTAACCAACAGACAAGCAAGAGAGGACCACCATCAGCTCAGAGAAGAGATTCGGGAGAAGGATAGAGATGGTTGGGCTACGACGTGTACCTTGAGGTGCTCAGCGATGTTTAGACACTATGCACAGTCGGCTTTGAGGTGCAGGAAATGGGTCCCTGAGGCTCGTCGGCTAAAGACCCCTACTAAAATCATCCATTCATGCATGTAATCCCCAGGCACACTGGAATGGGAAGTCTCAGAAGCAGAAGCAGACCACTGCCCTCCCAGTCGTACCGGTGCAGTCCAGACGAAAGACTGGGAAGCAACAGGATCCCCATGCCGTCAAGGTCCCAAAGACCCAGCAGCCGGAAAGCGCCGCCGCCGATCCTCCGGGCGAAAATTCCGATGATGATTTCCCGAACATAAGCAGCCCCAGCATGAGCACCAGCAGCAGCAGCAGCACAAGCAGCAACGACACAGGTAGCTCCAGCAGCAAGCCTGTCCTACGCAAGCCAGCATCCAAGGTTGCAAAAACAAGGCCAGCAAGCAAAACACAGCAGGAAGAAGAGGAGCAGGAAGAGGAGCAGGCTGCAGAAACTGGAATGCAAAACGATGACGAAGCAGAGCAGCCGAACCAAGCATGCAAGCCTGTTGCTTTGAGTGACACCTGGACCGCATGTGTAGCTGCTTTCAGATTTGAGTAAGTGCTTCGGTGCCCCGAAACCACAAAGGATCCCAAGGCTCATTCGTGCAGGCTTCCCCAAAAACCTTTAGCACAGCGAATACTCGAAAGCCTCCAATTTAGGGATTAGGGTTTTAGTGGGTAAAGATAAGCCTCGGCGGCCCAGGATCAGCACAGGAGTGCAATGGAGACCGACTGGTTCATGTGTGCCTTCGACCAGATGATTGGGGGCTCCGACCCGACCCTCAGTGCCTTGTCTCAGATTTTCGTTATATACCCCAGCCCTAAACCCTAAAATCCCCGATCACGACTTTTCGGAGTTCGGGCACTCAGCTTGTGGGCATGCATTATCGGCCTAAAATTTCGGCTCCTGCGAATGAGGGATGGTGTGATTGCTCTTGAGGATTTCGGGTTCTATTTTCGGGGGTTGAACCTTTCAGCTTCAGAGCTTGACGAAGGCTTCCTAGTAGCTTCCTAGCCCAGAGCATCGCACCCGCCAGTGGATTTATAAGCTACTTGTGTAGCCCGGCACATGCGATCTCGGTCCGGCAATGGAGATAGATGACTCCGACGACGAATGGTTACGAGAACTGCTGCAATTGGATGACGACAGCATGACTTCCTCTTCTGTAGAGAGCACGACGACTGTATCTTCACACAAACGAGCAGGGATGCTTCAGTGCGACCAGCTTTTGTACGACTACAGACAGCCCGTGCATTTGGAATGTTGGCTTCTGCGAACTATTGGAAAACTTATGTGCCCAAATCGCTTCACAACATGCCTGGACTGGCCTCTGCACTGAACGATGTCCTCGCTCATCCAGATATTCATCTCCGACTGCCCACCTCAGTTTTGGCGAGCAAATTGCTCGCTCACGCGAACGAGTTCGTCCGGCTCTTGGCTGCTGAGAAGCCATTCAAAATCGGGCTCACAAGAAGCCCGCTTCACAGGTGGGAAAATCCTTCCTATGGTTACCGACTTGAGGGAAGGTGGGGCTCTATGTATGTCATCTCCATACTTCACCACGGGGAGTCTGCAGGTATCATGGAAGCTTGCTTGATTTCTACTTGGGGGTCACACCACGGCTGTGCAAATGAAGCCGAAGGGGGCGAATCGGTTTCACAAGAACCAGGACCATGGTTCATCTATGCAGTGCAAGGTCATTAAGTGCACTCTCGGCATTTGCTTGATACAGTTTGGGCTAATGTTGTTTTAGTCTTATAGAGCCGAAGCAATAAGTGCACTTATTGGATCCGACGCCAGACCTGAATGCTGTCCAAAATCCCGCGATAACTTCCTGTATCCCTTGGCAATCCTCCAAATAAGTTGTTCTCAGCTGCGCCCCCCCCCCACCCCATAAGCCAATCCGTCGCCCAGGTGCAGTGGCTTTGTCTATGACTCCGAAGCCGCAGGCCCACGCCGTCGGCGATCCTCGTCGAGATTTAAACCCCTCATAATTTAAGGCCTTAGGTCAAGCCCTTAAACCCTAAGCATCCCTATCCTTGTTTCAGCTAAAACAACCGTAGTATCTAAGTTTTGGGGGGGTCCTATTTTACCTTAGTATCTAAGTTTTGGGGGGTCCGATTTTACCTTAGTGTCTAAGTTTTGGGGGGTCCTATATTTTACCTTAGTATCTAAGTTTTGGGGGGTCCTATTTTACCTTAGGGGTCCTACTTCTCTTTCTTGAATGAGATTCCACAATAGTTCCCTGCCCAGACTTCGAAACCCAGCAGCACGAACCAGGACACCCCGAAGCCGCAGAACGAGAAGCCCGGCCACGCACCCAAGCAGAAGGCCGAGAAGGAGAAGCCCGACAAGGCATGCGAGCAGAAAGCCGAGAAGGAGAAGCCCGACAACGCACCCGAGCAGAAGACCGAGAAGGAGAAGCCCGACAAGGCACCCAAGCAAATGGCCGAGAAGGAGAAGCCAAAGAAGGCACCCAAGCAAATGGCCGAGAACGAGAAGCCCGACAACGCACCCAAGCAAAAGGAGATCGTCCGGAAGGAGGGCGATGTATGGTGGTGCGAGGATCTCGGCAGAGCCTGTCGCCAGTTGAAGAAGGGCATCGACATGTCGGGTCACCCGACAGTCAAGGATGGCTCAGTGCTTGTGGTCTTCCAGGACGGGACCGAGTTCCTGCCGCCACTTATCCCGGCCGATGTGGAGGGGGGTAAGTTCGGTGCTTCGTTGCCGAAGAAGCCGGCAAAGGCGAAGGCGAAGCAGGCTTCGTCTACGAAGCCGGTCGAGGACTTTGTGCTGCCGACGATCCGGGCGAAATTCGCCAAACAAGGCAGCTCCCCGCCGATTATAAATGTCGAGGCAAGGGCAGACCGGAACGACTTGAGCAGTGCATGGCGACAGCGGTTCCAGATCGTCATCCGGGGGGAGATGACGGCGATCGAGGCCATGAACATATGTGCTACGTTCTGCGACTGTTACGAGCACATGAACATGAACCAGGGGCAGCTCAATTTTCGGGAGTGCCGCGACCTCTTGATTGAGATGGGCAGGAACGGGACGCACGACTTCACCAAGGGCAAGATGGATTGGGAACAGGTGGCCAAGCAAACCCACGAGGCTTTCCCGCCCAAGCCGACGATCCTTTACCTACTTCAGGATATCCGGTGCTTTCACATTAAATAGGGTAA